AATGTGACGGTCAATCCCACTATTCGTTTGTAAAAGAGTAGCCCAAGAGTTGGCGGTGGGTGGTGATGACTAGCCGCCTTCCCTCTAGTCTTACACTGCTAAATTAGGGACGGCTAGCGCAGATAGCCCTCTTGTAGCTTTGCGCGAAATCCATAATAAACAAACAAACATACTGAATATCTATTACCTTACCAGACAATTCTCGGGGAGGGGTCCTACAAATGTTTTGATATTTATCATTTGTGTATCGGTGGGAAAGGGAGTGAGTTGCCAGTTAATCTTTTACTTTTATATTTGAGCTTCAAAGCTAGAATAAAATAAAATTTTTATGAAATCTTTCAAAATATCTGTTTCCAAAATCCAAATATCTGTAGCGCTTCCTATGATGTTCCCACGACACTTTCTCCTAATCCTTATATGTACTAGCTAGTGTTTTGTTATTACTACTTGCACGTTTGTAGTCCAAATATATATCATTATTAATTATACTGTTTATTATTAGAAGTTTACGTGTCTGGAGTGGTTGCACGTACTGGAAGACCTTCATTGATTTTGTGTGCCAGTAAATACAAATGTGTGTACTGTACGCAGTTCGTAAGTTATATTGTACGTGTCTGGAGTGGTTACACGTACTGGAAGACCTTCATTGATTTTGTGTGCCAATAAATACAAATGTGTCTACTGTACTCAGTTCATTTATTATATTTAATGTAGGCTTTTGCGTAATACAAATTGAAATATATTATGATGGAGGTTATTCACAATAGATAGAATATATTGTGATGGAGGTTATTCACAATAGATAGAATATATTGTGATGGAGGTTATTCACAATAGATAGAATATATTATGATGGAGGTTATTCACAATAGATAGAATATATTGTGATGGAGGTTATTCACAATAGATAGAATATATTATGATGGAGGTTATTCACAATAGATAGAATATATTGTGATGGAGGTTATTCACAATAGATAGAATATATTATGATGGAGGTTATTCACAATAGACAGAATATATTGTGATGGAAGTTATTCACAATAGATAGAATATATTGTGATGGAAGTTATTCACAATAGATAGAATATATTGTGATGGAGGTTATTCACAATAGATAGAATATAATTTCCATATACAACACAGACATACACCTAATCATCATTGAAATACTTACATACGTCTAAACTTTTAAAAACTTTCAATAATTCCCTATTATCCTGGAACGGATTTATAAACAAATAATTGTATTATGTCAATTATTTATTATTGCCCTGACACTTAATCAGTGTTAAAAATAATGTTTTAGTAAATTGTATGGATAAGATATACAAGCAAATTTTAAGTTGGCAATATATCTATTCTTAGACATTACGTCTAAGCTTTATACCATATGAGATAGGATATAAGTGTCTTTATTTGTACCAGTAGGTGAATTTAAGACATGCTTTTATTTGCTAGTCCGACCTGTAATATGGTGGTTAAACTTTAGCTGACGTCATACTATCACGTGGGTGAAAGCAACTTTAGTCTGCGAATGTTTCTAAGTGTGATCATAAGACTATCGCCATCTAACGAAAATAATGAAAACTTCTGAAAATAATTTACTCCCACTTTTTTTGGACGATTGACAAAGCTAGAATAAATATAAATTTCATATTTTACGTTTTATTGGAAATTCTGATGTTTAAATCACAGTAAATGACCATAATAAAAGTTAGTTCTTTTTCACTATTTTCGTGTTAGATATACTAATATCGTAGAGTTTAAACCCTTGAATATATTGAAGCAAAGCAGCAACAAAGGCTTGTGAAGTATTAGGGTCAAAATAAGTGTTTTTGGCATTTTACAGCATATTGAACGTACGTTTTACACAGCGTACAGTACAAGGAAGATCCCTGTACATGTAAAACACTAAACAGATTTTTCAGGAATACAATGATTTGATTATATACTTCGATCAGTACAGTGCCCAGTCACAAGCATACATGAGTTTAATTAACACACCAAACTGACAAATAAGATCCTGTAACGGATCCCCCCTTTATACGCCATCTTTATTATCGATCATTGCAATGATTTTGAAAACTAAAAAATGTGTCTTACCTGTATTTTCTGCATTTTATATCCGAATAAATATTATTATGGAGTCCATAAACAACAATCTGTTCTTATTACAACCGTATTATTTCCAATACTACACATAAATCTTCACTTCTTCAGCATGACGTCATCTAATCAAGCGCGTAAACCAAAGGCCGTGTTTAGTTGGTGATAGCAGCGACTTAAAGGTAATAATAGTCTTCCCATTAGCGCCCCTTCTTTAGGATTATTTCAGTGCCCGGAGCGCTTAAAGGAATGAATACGGTGTCTACTTGCGAGATTCATGAGTTACTGTAATGGCAAACCTGAGATTCATCACATAAAATAGGAGATTAGGCATTTGTTTGTTTATTTTAGAATTTTCGCACAAAACTGCACAAGGGCTATCGGCGCATAGTCGTCCATGATATTGAATGGACTTGAAGGAAGGTAAATAGTCAACAGCACCCACCACCAACTCTCGAGTTACTTTTATCTGACCGAATACTGAGCTTTGATCATCAATTTTGTAGTACACCGTAGGCCTAAAATGTGGAAAGCACTTTTGAAACAATGGGGCGCGAACCCTGAACTAGCGGATTCACAATACACGCCCGGCCAAAGGCATTTTGACACCTAAGATACATGGAATAGTTTTTGGTGTGGAAAATAATGTCATATGGAATCCATGACATGAGTGTCTTTGATGCAACATTATGGCACGTGAAATACAAGCTATGATTTTCTGTAGTAAAACAGACCTAGCTTGGCCTGGTGGTTAGGGCGCTCGACTCACAATTTGCGGGTCGCGGGTTCGAATCTATATCACATGCTCGCCTTTTCAGCCATGGGGGCGTTATAATGTGGCGGTAAATCCTACTATTCATTGGTAAAATAATAGCCCAAGAGTTGGTGGTAAGTGGTATTGACTAGCTGCCTTCCCTCTAGCCTATCACTTCTAAATTTGGGATGGCTAGCGCAGATAGCCCTCGTGTAGCTTTGCACTTAATTCAAAACAAGCACACTATAGTAAAACACATGCAGTATATCTAACTTTTTGGACAATAGAAAATGTAGAATTAATGTGGGGGGCACGTAATCAGAGTACTTTACTCCAGAGGCAGGTGTTCCCGAGGGAGGGGGTGAGTAGCCCCATTGTATTCATCATGTATGTAAGCGACATGCCATTATCGGAAGCAAATTTCTACCTCATTTCACAATTTGCAGATGGCGTGGCAATTTGGAAGATCTCCCCAACACCGTCCATAGCAGTCACGAACCTACAAACCCGTATTAAATCAAATATTAGAGCATTACCAAAAACACAAACAATCGTATATTCGAAACGAACGAAAGCGCTAAGAAATCCAACAAAAATGTATATGGATGCAGCTCTCCTCCAGACTGCCACGTCAGCTAAAATTTTACGTATTGCACATGACTCTAGATTAAATTGGAAAACCCATATTAACCAGATTCGAACTAAAATGTGGAGACGAGCAAATTGTGTCAAGAGCCTGTCATGTAACAATTCGGGAACTTCATCACAGAACACTATTAAAATATACAAACAATACATACGACCAATAATAGAATATGCCAGACCAGCATGGATAAGTATCTCACCAACCCTAATCAAAAAACAATTACAACAAATACAACACTCGATACTCACTGCATCATGTAAAGTACCATAAAGCATAAGTTCAAATTTCTTACACAAATACGCAAATATTCAGACAACAAACGACAGGTTCTTACATAGCTCAAATAATAATTTGATGAAATAAGAACGAGTTACTGACGTCACTGTCTTGCTATATCATACATGATTAAAATATCCACAAGTACCTTACTCCAGTTAATATATATACTTTAAGAGTAGCAACAAGCCACCTAACGTTAGACTTTAAATATAAATATCATTTAACTAGTTTATAATAAAAGTATTAATTAGGGTATTTGTGTCTAACTACCAGAGACCCGCAAAACATTTCCGGCCAAATTAGTATCTTTATCGTAACAGTACTTCTTTAAATAT